GTATGTTTTATTAATTTTGTACATGATTTAAGAAACAAACTCTCTTAAAAATATACATTTATATACAAATGTATACAATTTCTAACAAAAGTTTATTATATAAATATTTAATAAAAAATATTATAAAAAAATTTTTATTATATAAATTGTTAATAATTCATAAATCTCTTAAAAATCTAAAAAAAACATCAGCTTTGCAACTGAATAAAGGCATTAAAAGATCAGAGTTTAGATATCAATTTATATCCAAAGCTTTCTAACTTCTTTAACTTTCCTTTCAAATTTGTTAACAGATTCTGTTATAATTTTAGTATCACTCAAGTTGATGCAAGTTCCACGCAGATTTTTTATGATTCAATCCATCAAAATTGTTCCATTAATGACATGATTTGATTTTGATTTTACAATTTGTATTACAGTAAACTGTATTTGCAAAAATGATTTGTGTATTGTAGTGTTACAGAATTGTTTTTTGTCAGTACGGTTTGTAAGTTAAAACCAGCTACCAGCTTTAGTTATATAGCTGAAAGCTTTATATTCAATTTTCAATAAATTTTATATACATTAGTTTTATACATTATAATAAAGGTTATAAAATAAATTTAAGGTCTTTCAAAATAAAAGGTCTCCGTTAATGGTACATTATAACCATTAACCTTACCATGTAGCTGTGTCTATTACATTCAATGATTTTTTGAGATGGCCAAGGTTTATTTTGTATGGCATCATCAGGCCCAAATTTAAAACTTTAAGGGCCTAGGCCAACAAAACTTTGAGCCTCATTTTAAAAAAACCTTTTTTTTAGTTAATTACATTTAATTGTGACACATATATCTGTTACTGCGGTAATGTATTTTATAATTAAGTTATTTTTGCAGTAATGGTAATAAATAACTGGGTATATTAAGATAGCTCTTTTATAACTTTTAGTTTTTATTACTAATTACAGACATAAATAAATTAACAAATTAAGATTAAAAAAACTTATTTAAAAAAACAATTATCGTATAAGTTATGTCAAATATCTGGGAACATATGTATGGTCTTCTGAATATTTACAATATTTTTAATGATGCTCCAATTTCTTTAAGAGTTTTGTTAGTAACAGATTTAATGTTGGCAGCGGAAATGAGAAAACAATAATATTAGTGATAGTAAATTTAGTGAGCACATTCTTTGTCTCAAATGTAAAGCTGTACTAAAATGGAGATTTAGAGATGGTACAAGCAGTTTGAAAGCTCGCTTAAAATTATGTCAACGAAAATAACCAAGTATGCTGTGTTAACATATGAAACTTTTTGAAGAATATGAATTACATATAAAATGTATCTGGGTAATGTTATTTCGAAAAATAACATTACCTAGATACATTTTTTGTAGCTGTTTCCTGTCAGATTTCTAGTGAAGCAGAAAAGAAACTGACCTCAAAACAATTTTTAAAAAGTATAAACATTTTGCTTTTGCAATTGCTTTGTGGACACACAAACAGACAATAATGTCATACATCATGATTACAGTGCGCTATAACAATGACCAATAGAAATTGTGTTCATATATTGTTGCAACATTCACTTGTGTGTTTTTCTTCAAATGGAAGAAAAACACACAAGTGTTAACTTAAAATTTTTTTTATTGAAAACAAGATAATTTTATTTTTTTATTTTTTAAATACTTGATGACTTCCAAAATATTTATTTCAACTATTTCACAAAGCTTTTATCATTATTATTATTTCAATATAGTATTATTAATTTTGATTAACATTTCATAAATATATTATGGCGTTTTCATTTCAGCTGCTAACATTAAATCTGTTACCAAAGAAATTCTTGAAGAAATTGGAGCATGGAAACTAACAATTGTTATGTAACTGATATTGGTTCTAATGTTAAAGCTGCCATTTAATATGAAAGCTGAATTTCATGTTGAGGACATAACCTAAATTTAGTTTTGGTTCAAAGCTTAGAAGCATATTGTTATCGTTGTTGACAAATACTGAAGATATAACAACTTGTTCAGCAAGAGAACAAGATAAAAAAAAATTGAATGAAAATTATTTAATTTGTAAAAATTATTAAATTAGCCTGCCAACTTGACTGTGTCTGTATTTTTTGCTATAATTGATTTTTATATATTTTTTTATTTTGAAATAAACTATTTGCTATATTCAGTTTGTTCAAATTCTGCACACTATTTGTGACATTTATTATTCTCTAATGATTGAAACACAGCCCTTTGAAATTAGGGTTGGCATTTGGCAATGCTGAATGCCGACCTGAATACCGAGAAACATCTCTCCGGAAGGTGATGGTTGGATAACACCTATTTAAAAAAAGTTGTTATTAAAAGCACCTTACTATATATATAAATTTAGAAAAATAAAAATAAATTGCAAATAACTTAATAAAGATATTTTAAATGTTATTAAATCAACTAGTTTAGTATTAAAGTTAGCAATGAAGTTTAACTAAAAGAAAAAACTAAATTTAAGCCAATACTACATAAAGTTCAAAGTTTTTTTTTTTTTTTTTACATGATTTTATTTTTTAACATTTTATACTCTTGAAACTCTTCTTTTTTTAAATTTAATCTTTTAATTTCTAAATATGCTTAAGCACTTTGTAATACTTTGCTAAAACATAAAACGACTATGAAACTTGCAAGGAATTACGTAAAAAAAAAAAGAAAAAAAAAAGGTTGTATCTAACAAATTTTACTCAATTTAAAATGCCTCTTTAAGAAACAAAAAAATGCAGAAAATACTTTAGAGATATTTTGAATATATTAAAACATATATTCAACATATATATATATTCATTAAAACTATAATTAAAAATGAATAAAGTTAATAAGTAGTTAAATTAAGTATTTCACTTTAACAAGTCTGTAAAAGATAAATTTTAAACTTAGTGTGATTTTTTGCTGTTTTTAAATCCTCTTATTTTTTTTTGTTTTCAAATAAAAGTGTAACATTTTGCCATATTTTTCAAACTCTATTTTAGTATATTTTTATATCTATGTATTGTTTTATGTAACCAATTATTAATTATAAACCAGTTATTAGAAAAAAAAACTTTCAGAAGAAACCTAATAGCACATGTTAAAACTGTTTCCAGCTCTCAAAATATTATTTAATATTTTGCAAATTATGAATCATTTTGATATTTGCTGTGTTTAAAGTTTATTTTCAATTTTCTCCTAGGCAGCACGACTAATTAAAAGCACACTTATTTTGAATTACATTCAACAATACATAGTATGATTAAAATATGCAAGATATGCAAAATCTTTTCACTAAATTACATGAAATGGTTATTTGAACACAGCCTAATTTAATATACGGTGGTGAGAATTAGATTATGAGTTTAATATGTTTATTTCATAAATAAAAAGCTTTTTGTAAAAAAAGTTAAATGAATGAATGAGGTATTTTTAATGTTTTTGCATTATGTTATTTAAATTATATGTACGTAACTTAGCAAAAACCATTAACTATTATAATGAGTGTAAGAAGTAGTAAAAAGTTATTTATTTTCAGAATTTCCTTTGACATTTCTAAGTTTTATTTTAAATAACTTTTTAATTTTAGTTTTATATTTAAAGTTAATAACTTATAAAAGAGTTTTTATTTTACAATATAAAACTATAAATATATAATATATATTTATAATATAAATATAAATATAAATAAATATATATAATATAATATATAATTATATAAATATAAATATAAATAAATAAAATAATTTATATATATATATATATATATATATATATATATATATATATATATATATATATATATATATATATATATATATATATATATATATATATATATATATATATATATATATATATATATATATATATATATATATATATATATATATATATATATATATATATTATATAAATATAAATAAATAAAAGAGTTTTTATTTTACAATATAAAACTAAAAATTAAAAAGTTATTTAAATCTATTATTCTTTATATATTTCTTAGTATTTTTATTATTACAGGCCTTGGCATGAAGCGGTAGCGATCGCTCCCGTCACATGAAACACTCTTTAATTGAATATTTATAAATTGCGGGCGTGATAAAAAATGCTCGCTAACATGGTTACAAGAGTAAAAAGTCGCGCTTGTCCTAAAAATTCAGGAGGGAATTACTATTAATGGTTTACTTGATTTTATATTAAATTTTTGTTATAAAAAATTTTTGTTAAAGATTCTTGATTATTTAAACAAAAAAGTTTGCTTATTGTTAAAAACAAAATAATCTCTATTCAAATATCTTTAAATGCCTTTTTTCAACTGATGTTAAAGTTATACTTCATTTAAAAACTCATTTTTTTATGTTAAATTATGTCATTCTGTTGAAATTAGAGCGGAAATTTCTACAAACAATAAATGTCGATTTGTTTATATACAAAAAAGACTTCTTTATATAAAACGTTTACAGCAAACATTTAACGAAATTAAATAAAATTTTATTCGTTTATATAAGTTTATTAATAATATTAAATTGTGTAATAAATACAAATTAATTATGAGAAACATTGTTAATTTAATTTTGTAAAAGCTTTTGCTAAAAACCATATGTATAATAATAAAAGTTTTTTTATTTAATTTTGAAAAAATTATTTCTAAAAACGTTGTGTTTTGAACAGGGAATAGTTTGCATATCATTAAAAACAAAATAATCACAAACATTTAAAAAAACTTGTTTTCTAAATATTAACCTACGTCATTCGGTAAATTCAAGCATTATAAATATTTTCGACCAAAATTTAAAAAGCTTTTGTTATTAAAATTATAACTTATATTACTTATAACTAAAAAAAAATTATATATTTATTTGAGAAAAAGAAAAGTTTGTGAAAACGTTTGCTAAAAAAAGTTATAAAAGTTCTATTAGCGTTAGCAACAAAAAAACATTAAAGATGTTTTAACAAAAAGTTTTATAAATTAACATCTTAGATAAGTTTTTATATAA